TTTTGCCGGGTCGGCTAGTATATATATGTATATGTATGTATATATATATATATATATATATATTTAGTAGTTAATTTTGATGTTGATGCCCTCAAGAACTCACTCATATATATATATATATATATATATATATATATATGTATTTATATATATTAGGGTGGTTCTTAATATGGTTGTTTGCGAATTTCCTTGCTCCCAGGGGCTCAAATGCTTCCAAGTTGAAAAAAAAATTCTCTAAAAGTTTTAGCTCTTAATATTACTCTAACATAGTCCGCAATCCAACCAAAGTTTCTTATGGAAATAATATGGGTGATATTCCATTTGTTTTTTAGAATTTAATAAGTAAATCAAAATTTTGAGAATAGCATTGTATTTGCTTACTTTGATCATAAATTAAGTTTTACAACAAAAATTTGATTTATTTTAAAAAATAAGTATTTGTTTAGGATGAAGAGCCAAGAAATTTTGGTAGAAGTGCGTACTATCTTAATGTTAATATTAAGAGCTAAAACTTTCAGATTTTTTTTTTTATCAATTTGTAGGCATTTGAGCCTCTGGGAGCAAGAAAATTCAAAAACATCCATATTAAGGACCACCCTAATACATATATATATATATATATATATATATATATATATATATATATATCTTGATAGTTGTTTCGGCGAATGGGCTGCTAGTTACGATATATATATATATATATATATATATATATATATATATATATATTATAATATCGCATGATAGATTCCCATCGACAAAATTCCTTATTACATTATATATAAAAAATAATAATATCTCTCCCCGAGCTCGTGAGAAATTTCGACACATGCTATTTCTTTTGCGAACAAATGTTTGATGGTAAAATACGTTAGGCGTTAAAGAACATCTCTCTATCGTCAAGGCAAGCAATAAAGTTGTAAAGAAGACGCCCGAAAGCTGTAAAATTTCTTTTATTTTTCACCAAGTAAAAATTTCAAATATAAAATGTTAACTGCGACATGTGTAGATGGACTCCTTTATGTTTCCCGAAGGAGGAAAAACTGGAACGACATGGGTAAAGGAGAGATGATTCGAAATTTATTCCACTACTAGTGCAAAAAATATATTTTATTGATTGATTTAAATTTAATTATTTATTGCTCTTGCTAGAAGGGGAAAAATACCAATACTAAGTTGGTGCTAAGTTTCAGAATACAATTTTCGAATTAAGAAGAAATGTTATGGTAATGCTACCTCACGAATCTATCTTTGTATGAGTTGATTATCACGAACTGCCTAAAAAGCTACATATTGCTTACATAGTGTTTTATACATATAAGCTAACCTCCAAAACGCACGATCGTCAAATAACAATGTTATCAATAGTGCAACTTCCTGATATCTCTTTAATAACACATAGGAGAAGTTAGGTTTTATATGTGAAACGCCTGATTTCACAGCAAATTCATAACTTTTTGACTGTTTGTCACTAGCAACTCATACGAATATGGACCCCTAATGTAACATTTCCATTTTCACAAAAACTGATCTCTTAAATTTAAGGAACCTGGGGCCGTTCAATTATTACGTAAGCACTATAGGGGGGCGGGGGGTTGTTGATTTGCTTATTTTGGGTTGACATGGGGGGCAGGGGAGTCTGGATGATGATTACGTCATAGGTAGTATTTTTATGTTTTTACATTAATTGCAAAATGTTTACGTAAGCATGGGGGTAGGGGGTAAGAGCTTTGCTTACTTTTGCCGACAAGGAGGATGAGGGGGGGGGTAAATAACTGTAATAAATCTGCTTACATAATACTTGAACGATCCCCTTGGCAAAAAATTGGATGCATCCGTTTTTGAGAAAACGTCGATGGTTAAATTTGGCTCACTTATACAATTTTTTTTCACTTGAAACCTTAAGAAAACAATTAGAAAATCGTATTTTCTAGCAAAAACAAACTTTTGTTTCAGAAAGTTAAAAATTGTTTAGGAAGACTACTCTGAATAATTAAATGCTGCCCTAAAAATTGAGTACCAAGTTTAACATAGTTGGGAGGATTTTAGGAAAAGGGGGGGAGGTTTGACAAAAAATCACGAAATATCACGTGAGGGAGGGGTATAGTAAGATATTACGTGTATTTATCTTTTACCTGATTTTTTTAAAAAATCCAAACATTTTCAAAAATTTTTTTTCGTGACTAAAAATACACGTGATATTTGTGGGGAAGGGAAGGTAATTTTGAATATTACCACATATTACCAAAGAAGAGGGGACTCCAAAAATCCTTAAAAAATCGATCACGTGATTAATGAAAGTCTCCTAAAGTTACAGCCTAACTATTATTAAACTAATTCCAAAACATAGCTTAATAATTTAATTACTAAAATGTGTAAATACTCATATTTGATTTTTCAAATCCTTTTATTTCTATTTACCTGTGCAAATCCTTTGTGTAAATGAAATGCTCTAATTAATTATCCTAAATTGACTATATAAAATAAATAATAGGCGCAGTCTCGTCGTCAGAGCAAACAAAGCTAATTTATTTTACTGACGTCTGCTATATTTCTGCATATTTATTGTATCATTTATAATTAGCTCCAATTATTAAAACAATTTAACAGATGGATGGTTTAAACAATTTATCAATATTTGGATACTAATTATGAACATATGTATGAGGGTGTTTTAATATAAATATTTATGAGGTAGGAATACAAATATCTCTCATACAGCTAAATCATTAAATTTGTTATTTTATTGGTTTTGCATTGTTTCAATATTACACCACTTTACAATCCTGATCAAATGCACTAACTTTTGTTTGTAATTTAGTTTAGAAGGAACTAGATGAAATTAATTAAATTTCTGCGTAAATAGTTTTATATGCACCGATGTGAAATTTCGTATAAAACGCGTTAGAAATCGCTATTACATAGTAACCACAATTTAATATACATGGATTAGTTAGGCATTTTTTTACATTCTGTTACATTATTCGAAAAATTTGTTCTGAGCACTTTTTTTAAGTTAGCTTAGAAGAAACTAGATAAAAATGATTACAATTCTTTATAAATAGTTTTATATGCTCCAATAGCAACTTTTGAATAAAACGCTAATATACTTTAGTACAATTTCTTTAAAGGTTTTCTCAAAGTATACACGATTTTGAACATTTTTAATTTCTAGTTTAACCAAAAATCAATTTCCTTGAAAATTTGGAGCAATAGTGTCATGATTTTGAATGTGGTCCTAGTAATGTTATTTTCGATAACAAATCCAAAATTTAACTAAACAAAATTAATAAAAATTAACCACTATGGTCATAGTTTTACGAAAGCTCTAGGGTGCACTTGAAAGCTCATAATTTTCAAAGTACATGAAATATTTTGTTTAATTGTATTTTTTTTACAAAAAAAGTGTACGTACAAAAAAATATCGATGTCTAATAAAATCATCGTTGAATTATAAATTATTGAATTTTAATTAAATCCACTTAATTCTTTTTGAAAATGCTCTCCTTAAAATGGTCCTTATCAAAGTTTTTTAAGAATTATTATCAGAAAAACTTCGATTAGTGAAAGGTATAGGTAAAATTTAATTTTTTATGAATTACTAAATATTTTGAAAATGCTAAATATTTTTTTACCTCACTAAAGAACATAATTATCGTCTCAGTTTTTTGTCTGATAAAGCGTGATATGAAATTCTTCTGATATAGGAGAACGCGCAATTAATAAATTCCCTAGGCCCCAATTTCTATATATCATCCCTTAACAATGTGGAACATTACACCAGAGGGTGTGATACTAGATCATAAAATATAATATAATCTGGAAATTAAGTTAAAAACTAATAATAAAATATTATACAATCTAATATAATTTGAAAATACAGTGAAAGAATAATAATGAAATAATACGATATATTCGTATAATAAAATCGTATAATAAAATCTGATATAATATGAAAATTAAGATTAAAAAAATTAAGAAATATGGAATGAATCATATATATTTTAGTATTTTAACATGAATTTAATAATGAGTATATAAATGCATACCCAATTCCAAAATTTTATGCAAATTGGAGCACAGCAAAAAATCAGACCCAAAACGCTCCATTGCCTGGAGTATAATAAAATTTGATGTACGTAAATGCAAAAAAACTTTAAATAATATCCATCAAGTTTAATAGGACTTATATTCTATAAGCATAATAAAAAACAGTCATGATATTAAAATATCATTATATTATATAGTTAATTATCTATAGATATAGAATCCCGACGAAGAAAAATCACAGTAGTTTCATATTCATTTTAAAAAATCTACAAGAATGACTTTTTATATTTTATTATTAAAAATTTAGGTATATGATACATCTTATGAATACAATTACAAATATTATGTTTTTTTGACTAATGTGAATTTGAAATCTCATGGTTCAGTTCTAGTAAAAATTTTATAGCCATTTTGAAAAGTTGCTAATTTTCTATTTTTATTTAACTAATGGTGTATAGTTAGTTAGTACAACTGAGTTACCGTTTTTGGCGTTTTTTGCCCCTTATCTTCGGAACGTCTAGACCTGCCTTCGCCAAAAACCAATCAGCACATCTCCTCAATAATACGAATCGAATGTTTTGTGAACTATTCAAATCGGTTGATCGGTGTTCCCAAAATTGTCGACGGAAATTTATATCCGCACACACACACGCACACACATACATCAATTTTTTATAAGGTATGTCAAAATGATCAGAGACCTTTGAAACGTGAAGATGTATAAAAATTTTCATTTTCATTTCTTACCTACGGGTAGTTATTAAGACAATCATTGATTACTAGGCGTATATTTTCTCATATTTAATTTGACTAAACAATGGTTAAATAGGTGACAACAAAATAATGATTATTTGATTATTACAATATCCTTAAATAACATTATTTAATGGTTAATAAAATTTATATTTAATATTTTCAGACAAACATCCAAAGCCTATAGACAATATATTCAGCAAACCCATCGCCCATAACGGTTCCCATGTCGATCAAGGACAAAACGAAGGATTAGGACAAATTGCGACGGATCAATCTTCGCCCCAGGGAGGATACAACTTTACTCAAATCATTGAACAGGTAATAAAATGATAAGAAATGAATTATATTGATAATAAAATATATAACAAGAAAGCCAGACATAATAAATGATGGGTAGTACTGCCTTAGGGCAACTCGTGAGCTGAGTGAGGCTCCAACTAGATTCAGGGAAGAATAGTGTGAGAGATTTTTCATTGCCATTTTGCACCACAGTTTCCAAAATGGGCTATTTTTAATTGGAAACATATTTTTGATCTATATACTCAAGTGAAAATAGAACACACTACTGGACAATTTCAGGTTGTCCAGAGTAGAGGTTCACAACCCAGTCCACACGAGGCGTTGCCTTATACTATTTTTCCAATTATACTATCATATTATTAGTAAATATATTTTTCGATTAATTCCAGGTGTCAAGATCAAGTCAACAACACAAGCCCGCAGAATTAAGTGCCCTCTTAATCGGCCTATTAGTTTTCAGCGGCCTCTTAATCGGTCTATTAACCTGGTGGAGTCGCAAGACAAATTATTGTCAATATATGAACAGAAAGCGATCGAAGCAGGGAGTAAGTGAAATATTGCGACATAAAGGATGTTTGTATCAGTTTTTCGTGAAGTTTTAGTAATATGTTTATTTGTTTGTAGTCTATAAGGACGATGAAGAAAGATGCTTTATCCCCGGAGCGATATACGCCTAACCCGCAGTATAGCGCTTGTCCTACGGCTTTGCCTTTGCTGAACAGGGAGTCTTTGGTTTTTTTGCAAGAAATTGGGGAAGGTTGTTTTGGAAAAGTGTTTAAAGGTAATTTGTTTAAATTTTTTTATATATATGCGCCTATTTTATTATGTAATATCAGCAAATTTTGGGTAGCACTTATTGTTAGAATATTTGAATGGAATACCGATCCATTGTTTGAGGGTCCGAGTATGTAAAAAAACAAGAAAAATAAATAAATAAAAAAAATTTTAAAAATAATTAAAAGATGAGAAAAAAAGTTTGTAGTTTATGAGTTTGATAAGGCAATTGTAAACTAGCGATATATAGTGTTTCCGTATGTACATATAGGGTATTATGAAAGAAAATATTAGAGAGATCAATCTGCTTGAAATTCGAGAAAAATTTAAAATCTCAAGAAAATTATATGAACACGCATATAAATTATATATATATCTCATTTCTTTCGTAATTTTATTCTGCATCTTTTGTCCTAACAAAGTTCTTATGTATCTTTTACATTCAAATGTTGAAATGCAAAGTACGGTTAGGTTTCAGCAACTATTCACACTTTTCGATATTTCTCTAAAGAAACCATATAAAGTATTATACATCGTTAGAAAGGTCTCAAAATTCTTAGTTCTTTTCCCATAAAATCGCAACTTTGAATTCCGCACGGTGTGGCCTACTACAGGCAAGTTGCAGTGGTAAAATTCAAAGAAAACTGGAAAATCTCTAATAAATTATATGCACACACTTAACGATTTATATATCATTTTTTACGTAATTTTATTCTGCATCTTTCGTCGAAACAAAGTTTTTTCGTATCTTTTTTGGTTTAGATAGTATAGAGCAATCTGTGTGATTATTTACTTGTTGAAATGCAAAGTGCGGTTAAGTTCTAGCAACTATCCACACTATTTTATATTTCTCTGAACAAACCATATGAAGTATTATACATCGTTCGAAAGGTCTTCAAATTCTTAGTTCTTCTTCCCATATATAGCAAGTTTAAATACCGCACGGTATGGCCTACAGGCGAGTTGCCGTTGAAAAATTCAAGGAAAACTGGAAAATCTCGAAAAAATTATATGAACACGCATATTGAATTATATATAATTTTATTTGTAATTTTATTCTGCATATTTCATCCAAACAAATTTTTTATGTACCTTTTACGGTTTAGCCTGTAGTATATGTTCTGTGTATATTCAAATATATATTCAAAAATGCAACTATCCACACTATTCAAATCTCAAAATTCTTAGTTTTTCTTCCATATACAACAACTTTGTTTTTTGAACAGTTTGGCCTACAGCCGGGTTGCAACCGTAAAATTCTAGGAAAATTGTCATGTAATTAGTAAAAAAAAACACCTACATAGACTAGAAATATCAGCAGAATGTAAACATTTTCATCTGAAACATTAAACCAAAATTCCATAAATATGTATTTCGGTTACTCCTATCTCTTCATTATATTTTATCGTTAGTATTTTCATTACAAAATCTCTTTAAATTTTAGTTTTGCACACATGACAGCGATTACACATGCGCCAGTCAGTCTTTTTATTTATAAACATAAATTGCTTTCAAAAACATAATAAGTAAAACATGAAAAGTTGTAATTTTATTGAAATTCTCTGTCGAAAATAAACGACAGAAACATGTTTACAACATGCTCCATGTAAAAGTTTAATTGATGCATCAAACGTAGGAAAATCGTTTGAAAGAAGATTTTATTTTATGGTTTTGTTGCAAAGTTTACGGATTTGTAGAAAACAAAATTTATTTCCAAGAAAATTAGTAGAGGCTTTATTTATATACTGGGCCGAACTATTAACAGGATCATAAACAACTATTTTGGAAAATATACATTTGGAAAATATAAATTAAATTGGTGAAAACACTTTTCATAAAACATAACATTTTACAATAGCTTGTATGCAAAATTATGGATTTTACATGAAATAATACTTCTAAAATTTTTATTCAAAGATTCAGATTTTATTCAAATTATTAACATTCTGAGAAAAAGTAATCATTTCTTCCTCAGGAATTATTCAATTCCGAGAAAAATTAATAATTTCTTTCTCAGGAATTACTAATTTTCCTTACAATGGTTTACATCATTGACAACTTTGTAATGAAAAAGTGCTGGAAACTTAATTAAAATTTATGAGATTGGCATGTCTGTATCTTGTGCACTTTTTATTGATATTTAATTCTACGACTTATATTTTTTGCTCAAGAGCACTTCTGATTTTTTCTATGTTAAGTGCTCCTAATGGACTTCTTTAAGATTATCTGACAATTATTTATTATCTTGTGAGAATTTTATATTCGATATAGTGAAATTGGATTGGATTCAATATAGTGGAGCTGGGGGCTTATTGTAACAGTTTTTCTGTAAAATGATATATTTCGAGTTTCATTGATTATAATTCTAAGAATTTCAAAAATTCAAAAATGATAGACCTACACAGTTCTGTTTAGTGCGTCGGCCAGCAGGACAGTTTGTATGACAGAATTATGCAAAACGATTTACTTGACCAATTCAGAAAAAAAATATATTGTTCAAGATCCTTTTGAAAACCACCTGTTACTGTGTACCCCTGGTACTACTTACCCCAGTTACTACTTACCCCTGTTCCAATAAGTCCCTAACATCCCTACCTGGAAACCAAATCATCCAACTTTTATCCCTAACTAACCAGCAATTTAAATATTTTAAGGCAAACCTCATTAAAGTATAATTATAATTCTAATTGGCTTTTTCTCTAGGTGAGTTAAGAAATGAATCCAGGTGTGATACAGTAGCAATTAAAGTTCTGAAGGATACGGCAGGACGAGAGGCCGAGGAAGACTTTTTGCGAGAAGTCGATATAATGAGTGCTTTTAGGCACGATAATATCCTTACATTGATCGGAGTTGTAATGCGAGGTAAGTGATAGAAATAATTAAAATAATAGTTAATAAAAAAAGTTAAATTCAAATTTTGAAGAAATAAATAAATATGACTAATATTAAAATAGTATGCCATATTATTATGAATTCAAAAAAAAAAAAATTGTATACCATTGTTATAAATGGTCTTTATTTTGATTTTATTGGATTTTATTTCACTGTACCAAATATAATTCTGCATCCGCTTTAAAATAAATATAAGAAGTGAAGTCAAATAATGTTTGTTAACAATCTTGTTCACTTAATTCATTAACAAAATAATTTAATAAGAAAGATGACAATATAAAAAAATGGCCCACCCGAAAATATTTTTATTTAAATCTAGATGACCCGACAGACGCGTTGTTTTGTACTTATGTTACCAATTCAAAAGTTCAATTTTTTTTAATAACCTATACTGATATTTACCAATTCGTTGAAAATTATCATGTTTTTTACGCTACAGTCTATATCGAAACGTATATACATCCACCCATATGGATCTTAAATGTACAACTGCTTTAAATAAAGTATTTGCGTTTTAAAAAACATTATAAAACATTTTTTTTATAATTAGTTATTTTATCAATATCCGACGTTATTTAAAAAAAAAAGAAATTACACCACTGAGAGGGATGTCTTCCCCCCGGGAAATGGCAAAGGAGTCTAAATTATTTTCACTTTTGAACTTGAGAGTAAGATAATCCGAATTCCAAAATTTCATACGAACTGGAACACAATAAAAAAATTCAGACCCAAAACGCTCCATTGAATTGAGTAAATATTCCGTATCCGGTGGCAAAAATATGAAAATACTAACGTTTGTATGTAAAAAAGAAAAGAGCTGTTTTTAGGGTTTTTTCCGGCAAATATAAAAATCTCCATGTGACGGACAATATCTGTATTAATATAAATATTTCCAGAAATGCTTTGTATGAATGTGTGAATTTGTAATTTGTACAAAATTACCCTGATAAAGTATTTATAAAAATATCATAACCCCAATACTGCCATCATTTAAAAGTGCTTTTATGATAATTTCAAAATTCCCAAAGGCATGCCCATAAGGTAAAAGTAGTTGAACTCCCAACTCGAACAAGAAAAGTTTAGTTTTAAAAGTTTCTCGTTTCAGTTTCATATTATTGCCCGAATGGGATTTTGTTTTCAGTTGGAAACATATTTTCGATTTATATTTTCAAGTGCAAATTGATATATCACCTACTCTATGATAATATACTGCACAAAATCCTAAGCAATGAATACAAAAAAATTTGGTTGTTTAGATAAAAACTTAAAAAAAAACATATCTAGTAATACTCTATTTTGTATAGAAATTTAATTTCATTTCTATTTATTACTTTTATATGAAAATTTATTTAACGGTTAAAACAAAAATTAATCAGAAGCCAAGAAATTTTTAGAGTTTTACTCTACCACCCAACCGAACATTGACCACCAGTTGATTGAAAAGGAATTGTCTACTTCTAGTAGACGAATCTTATATATCAATTGTGGTATTCAACTTTAACCACTACCATAGCCTTAAGGACTATTTTAAATTTGAAGTAATTTACAATATACTGAAACTATAAAAGGCATTAGTTAAATATAGTAAATTCTGTATCCGCACATCCATCATCTAATGTTTATTCTATTTTATTTTATTACCAGATGGAACAAATAGCCCCTGGATGGTATTCGAGTACATGCCCCATGGTGATTTGGCAGAAGTGTTAAGAGCGAACGCGAAAGTTCCTCGACTCAAGAACCCATCATCTTGCGCCGCACCCGCGCCAAAACTAGATAAAACATCTTTACTTTCGATAGCTTCTCAGGTATTTTAGAAAACTTTGAGCATTTCAGAAATATGCTCCATGAAAATGTTGTAAAACAGCTATTTACATAGTTTCATAGAAAACTTTGGCAAACGAGCACAAAGTTTTATGAGATTTGTGAACTACGTGAGAAAGGGTATGGGTAATGTGAAATAAACGACTAGAGAAAAATTTATATGTATATATAATATATATATATATATATATATATATATATATATATTTAATATATTATTAACTACTCCTACCTTGACTCCTTCTACTCGAATGGAGTTTCAATATTTTCCAAAAATAAAAATTCACCTGCCTCCCTGAACAAAAATCCTGAAATATACAATAAAATGATCTAGAATGGTATTTCATAGCATCATACATAGATATTGTGAAAAATCCAATTTCAAAAAATTATATATCTATCAATAACACGTTCGCGGGCAGTAACAGTTCAGAAAGCTAAAAAAATTTAATCATGTCATAGCAAGGCCATATGTTACGCTCTAAGTTCCAAACATTATGCAACTGAATTATACTGAATACTGTGCATTCAGACGTTTTACACATAAACTGCAACGTCACTCGTATGCTATGAAGCAGTGTCAGAAAGACCCTGTGAGCTAAGATCGTTTTTTGAAATTTATGCGGTTTCTAAGGTTGGGTATTCTATCTGACAACTTGAGAAACACGCCTGACTGCACAGCAACCACAAGGCTTTTGTCAATATTTTGTATGGAAATAACATGGCCTTGCCATAACATTTTTCTGTTATGAGGCAGAATCAGTCCCTTAGTGAAAGAGATAAGATGATATGAAAATACCTAAAGAAACAATTAGTAACTGCTTTGTCAGGTATAATATTTAAAAATATGTAAGGTTGTATGAAATTAAATTGAAAATAAGTGATCGTAAAATGTTAATGCTATAGTATTCATGTCATTTTGCATCACAATCAAAATGAAATGCTATAGCATTCGCGTCCTAGAATGTGTTAAAAACTAATAAAATCATAAATTTATAAATAAGTATATAGATTGGAAAAAGTCGAAGTAGTTATATCATATTTATAATGCATAAATTTATCAAAAAACTTCCTCTTTTTTTCAAATTAAAAAAAAGCGAAATATTTAGTATTTTGAGCCATATTTTAGCAGAATTTTGTACAATAAACAGCATTATTTAAAATGATTTTTCATACAGATGTTGGTTTTTATTAATTAAAATCTATATAAAATTTTTTGATTAGATGACTAAAAAATATGTGACTATACAATTAAATAATTAAAACTTCAATTTGCAGAAGAAATAAATTCAATTTTTTGTATAGTTCTTATAAATCGTTAAAAACAAAGTCAAATTATCAATAAAGTGTCTTTGATAAGTGAAATACTGTCAAGCATTAAAATTATTTATTTACTGAAATGCTATAGCATACACGTCCTAGAACGTGTTGAAAACTAATAAAATCTGTAATTTATAAACGGAATGTATATCATTCCAGTATAATTTTTTTAAAAATTATAAGTGATAAGTTCACTAATAAATCTTGGTCAATATAAATATATTTTCCAATGTATTTCTTTTATTTATGTAATTCCTAATTTGATAAAAAAAACATATTATATAATCTAATCGTATATGTATAAATACATTCATTATCTTATATTTATTATAATTTTTTTAAATTTCAGGTGGCAAATGGTATGAGATATTTATCTGCCCAAAGATTTGTCCATCGTGATCTTGCATGCAGAAATTGCCTTGTTGGAACTGGATTGTCGGTGAAAATTGCAGATTTTGGCATGAGCAGAGATGTATATACTTGCGATTATTATAAGGTCAGTAATAAAAAAAATATAATTAATGAAAATGCTATATTAAAACAAATGTATACCATAAACAAGTCAATACATAATATTTCTGACTTCTCTTCCAAATATAATAGATAACTTAACTAATTACATCAATAAATTCCTACACATATTTCAACATGGAACCTCTATGAAATCTAGTGCAATCGAGTACATTTGTAGTATACGTAAATCATAATATATAAACTCACCTTTATTAATTACAATTGTTTAATTAATTGGGCTGCATCACTACATTCTGCACAATCACTAATTTGATAACTATCACCTGTATAATATTCTTAAATCGATATCAAACAATATTTTACCGACATTATTGTTCCCTTAACCTAAATACGTATTGCACGTGCAATGTCAAATTTACGACTAAGGTAAAAGCACGTGGCTCACGTGGTTGCCATGGTAGCTAACAAAATGCAAGAAATTAAGGGCGCCGAATTTGAAATTAGGTAAAATAGTTTTTATTTACGATTCACCTAAAAAAGCAAGAGTTACCAATACATGGTATGAAAAATTAAAAATTCTGATTATATCATTTGTGTTTCTTATATTTCTTCTGTTTTTACTTCTAAATATCGTGATTTAAAATTTTTTAATGCAAAAAATTAATATTTTGGTATACCAGCTAGGATTTATAGATTATGGACTTCTAAGTTGTTATTTATTAAAGCATTTATTAAAAATCTTGGCAAATGTTGGATGTGCAAAATTCATACTTGAAAGCGAGTGTACTTCTAATATAGATCTCTTTATTCGATTAGTATACCAATTCAAAAAAATATACAAATATTGCCATTTTCATGAGTTCTGAATGTACAAAAATACCATATGTTGCTTCTTATTTAATGTACCTTCAATTTCTCAATGATTCTCTTACAGATTGGTGGTAACCGTCTCTTACCAATTAGATGGATGTCTCCTGAAAGTGTGATGTATGGTAGATTCACATTGGAATCTGATGTTTGGTCCTATGCAGTTTTGCTCTGGGAAATCTATAGTTTGGGAATGCAGCCTTATTATGGACACAGCAATGATCAAGTTGTAAAACTCATCTTACAGGTGATAATATATGATATGATACAATAGCCAATGTCTTCTAATTGATCACTTTAAAGTATGCAACTTACCTTTATTTACTTACCATCTTTTGCATTGCCTGATGACATTGTCCAAAAAAATATTGCTCAATTGGTATTTGTTATGTTCTTGGCTATTAAATCTTTATTTGCAAAAGGAGATTTCTATGTTTACTAAGACCTGTACTTTAATATATAACATCATTTTCTGCATCATACCTCCACAAAACTAACCATACATCCATATCTACCATATCAGGTACAAACAATTGGATTGGACTTGAAACTGCTTAATTCTGGAGCACCTACTTTTAGTAACTATTTTAGTTTAGCATCATCATATCTTCAGATAAATATATCTATTTCACTTATTATATTTTTTTCACCAGGGCGAAAAGTTGATGCCCCCAGAAGGTTGTCCATCCTTCATATGCGACCTGATGAAGTTATGTTGGAAAACAGAACCTCGGGACAGATTAACCTTTCCTGAAATTTACGAAAAACTTGCAAAAGCTCGTGCTGAAATGGCAGCTTCTCAGCAAGAAATCAATCAAAATATCGAAATCGCTGATGATTTACCAAGGCCTCCGATTATAATACCAACACTGGACATCATGCAGCAAACTGAGGATTTGGAGGGTTACTTGAAACCACAGAAGGCACAACCTCCTGAATATATGGTGGCTATAGCTTAAATGGTAGATAGTAAAGAAATTTTGAGAAACATATCTTTATAAAAGGGAATACAAACGGTGGTTTTAGTTATCAACCTGGATAAATAGATCTCTTTGCTTTTTATTTCATAAAAGTGAAACTATTAGCATTGTGTATATATTTCTCATAAACCAGAGACACTTTCTTGATGTACCCAAAGTTGTCCATATCATGACACTGTTTTAAATGTAGTTAATATTTAAATGTATTTTTAATCTATCATAACGGGTGTTAGTAATATTATGTCCAAAATACTTGTAAATAAATATATATAACAAAGCAATATTTTAATATTATACAGTTACTTTTAAATTATAACCTTTAAATGTCGTGAATAGTAAAATTAGTATAGATTTAACTAAAATTCCAGTGTAAAATATTAGATTTGTCTATATAGTATTTGATAAGAAATGAACAAGAGTGTGAATGAGTGAGTGAGAAACACTGAAAAAGATGAAAAGAAGTGATAATTTATGAATGAATAAAAAGATGCATTGAACGATTCATTAATGAATGAAAGTGACGAAAAGGACGACAGTGTAAAACTATGTGTAGTAGAAGTATGAATGAGATAGATTGATGAATGAATGAAAGAGATGCAAAAGCGCCAGTATCGGACTAAGTGAGATAGATTGATAAATGAATGAAAGAGATGAAAGACCGATAGTAGCAGACTAAGTGAGATAGATTAATAAATGAATGAAAGAGATGAAAGACCGATAGTAGCAGACTAAGTGAGATAGATTGATAAAGGAATGAAAGAGATGAAAGACCGATAGTAGCAGACTAAGTGAGATAGATTGATAAATGAATGAAAGAGATGAAAGACCGAGAGTAGCAAACTAAGTGAGATAGATTGATGAATGAATGAAAGTGAGACTAAATGAGATACATTGATGAATGAATGAAAGAATGAACAAGAACTACAAAGTGTGATTTCAAATTAATTAACGATTGAAGAGTATCAGGAGTATGAGATAAATGGAAAATGATTGAGAGAAAATTAGAAATTAAAAATTAAAAATTAGTATCAAATGTAGATTTCTGTAATATCGTATTTATAGTTTTTTAAGACAAAAATATAAAGTGAGATAAAAACCGTAAATCAAATAATAATAGTAAATTAGTAATTATTGTCAAACATCTTAGAAAATTGAGATTTTTTTATTTTATTCGTATGATCAATTGCACTAAATGATATTAGTTTGAGACAGTAGAGAAATTGAATTTGATTAAACATAGCAAATTTACTATTACCAAATAATTTATAAAACAATCCCTTACTAGAGCAATCGATCTTTTACTATGTTTGACAGGGTTTTGTAGACAAATTCTAATACCATAAATATTTTAAGAAAATTTTTCACTTTTTCGGTGTTGACAATAAATGTATAATATATTCTTATGTATAAAATAATTTAAAGTTGAAGAAAAATGGGACCTGATTGCGTTGTAAACTTTTACCTATTTATCTCCCAATATTTATTATCAATATAGTATTGAAATAGTAAAATGGAATTTGTAAATTTTAATGAATATAAATGAATAACCATGAACAAGGCCCAAAGTCGTCCTGTATGACGACTTATTCGTGATTAATCATTACTTTGTTAGCTGTATAAATAAATTCCATGTTACTTTGTTGCTATATTTTGTAAATAATAATTGTAAATAGTTAAGGAAATGCTTATTTATTTTATCTTGTTGTATGTGGTTATAATTCATCTTTTTTTATAAAAAAGAAATAAAGAAAATATGCCATATACGCAGCTTTTATGTGTTGTAAAATATAAACGTATTTTTGTAATAATTAGTTTTATATTATATTAGTAGAAGATAAAAAAAATCAAATTCATGATCTTAATATTAGAGACGCAGGATTTTGAATAATTTATATTTTTATCAATTCTAGTATTTTTGGTCCACATTATTTTTTTGTCTATATAATGAATGGTTTCACATATTGATAATAAGTTTAAGAATAAGACTTTTTTTTACAAAATTAGCTCTAGTTTAAAAACCCACTTCTAGTCTTCTAAAACTTTGGTATGTTTTAAATAATTTATATGTATTGCCAAAGAATTTAAATCAGAGAATTAGAAGTTAAAAAAAAACGTAAAAATATTTTGGTCTCTGTGAAAAAATCCAAATGAATGTGTATTCAAATATATCATAAATCCCTATACAATTTAAGAAAATATAAAAAACTATCAACATTATTACATAATTTTTCAAAAAAATGTATATATTATCTAAGTTAGTTATTATGTGCCATATAAAAATATATTTATTATTTTTATTAAATTCTGAACAAAAATTTGGAGTGCCTTCTTTTCTTTAAGAATTGGACATTAATATATTTGAATTTAAAATTTACTAGATTTTATATTAATATTTTTTAAATATGAAGGTAGTTGAAATAGGTCACAAAAAATCGAGTGTATACGGCAAATACCAAAAAATGTAATATTTAATTACAATTTAATTATTTATGATGATACATTCTTTGTATAATTTTTCGATGATTTATCCAAAATATGTATATAATTTCCATTAACATTTGGATAAGTAAAAACTATATGAACGTTAAAAATTTTATTAAATATATAACATTCACTCATAAATATTTTTTTAAATAATAAATATGTAATTGCAAAAATATAAATACTTAGAATATCAAGAATTTCTTGGAAAAACGTTAAAAAATGTTACTATATGTAAAAATAAATTCATGAATAACATGACATTTTAAAAACAGTAAATTTGTGTCATTTTTTTTTTTAAATTTAAATATAAGATTTTAAAAATACTAAATATTTTTCTGTTGATGTGATCAATTTTAGTATAATTATTTTTTTAAATGATAAAAAATAATCATATAAATTTTTACTTGTCGTACAATGTGTTTATATATTCCTTTAATTGTCAAGGATTTTATTTATGTACAGCAATACTGAAATATTCATCATAAATTTAGAAACATACCTCTTGAAATCATTATTTTGTAATTTTTCTTATGAAATTTTAAATATCATCTTCACTGTTGCACCAATTTTCAAAAATAATAAATAAATATTTTTAATTTAAAAATTTAATCAATTTTAATTTATAAATTTAATCAAACCTAAAATAACGTTGTAGACAAATTGTTTATTAACAATCATATTGAAATTAATAATTTTAATATTTAGTAATAATTAGTAGTATTTAAAGAAAATGTAAATATGTGTATTTTAATGTGTATATAATTTTAGTTTTAATTTAAAAAATAGAGAATTTTATTTTTGTGACTTGCACTACTCTAATAATATTAATTAATATCAAATGCACGAACTAAGTGTATTTTATTATTAAAAAATATAACTCTCAGTATTTATCTGTTAAAATTGAACTTTTCCACTGTGTCAAATATAAAAAATGTAAAATTGTGAAAATAAATATTATATTAATTTATCAGTTGATTATTTAATAATTAGAATATTTACTTACTAACAAAAACTTATAACAAAAAAAGTTATATACAATTTTTGCTCAAGAAATGTATCAATTTGTAAATTAGTAGAAAAAATAAATTGACAACGCCTCAGGAAAATATATAAAAGTTCAGATATGTAAAATGTAAAAAATTGTAAATGAGCTTATTGTGAATTCTTGATTTTTAAATATCAAATTGTAGAAAATGTTAAAAATTGTGAAGAAATAATACAAATTTAATAAATAGATATTTAAATATAATCGTGACCAGAGGGATAAAAAATCGTGGTGCAATATTCAAATCTTGTTTTTAGACGGCCCGGATAATATTTGTTTTCAAAATTATGGAAAATTTGGAAAATTCATAGAACAACTGTTTGATATGGTTTATTACGAATAAAAAACTTGTTTCCCATCTGATTTACACGTCTTATTTTATATTTGGACGAATTACACATAATTTTTAAATGCAAATACGTATTATTATTTATATTAATAAAAATATTAAATACGTTAAAATCTGGCAGTAAAATAACTGCCTTTTTTAATTTTTTCTAAATAAAACCAAATGTTGATATCAATATCAATTTAATACTTGCAGATATGTTCAGTTGTTCTTGTTTATTATACATTTAGGCAAAATATACATATAAACAATTATGTTTACCATACATTTAGGCAGAACATACATATAAACAACAATTTGCTCGATTTAATAATTTCAAGCAATCAACAACAAAGTTCATTTAACAATATAGAATTATTAAACTTTACGATTTTTCTCTACTGAATATTACAAAATGGTCTTCATATTATTGTCTTTTTGTACAATATTCTTAAATATATTTCGGAAATAAATTAAATCAATAATTTTATGTAAATTTAACACGAAATAAGTAATAAAATTTATATATTATATAAAAACTTTCAGAACTAATTTTATGTATAATTAAAACTAATCGATAAATAAGAATTTTAATAAAAATCAATTAATCTACGGTAATTATGTACACGTACCATTTTCTTATGCAGTTTTTGGATGTAGATTATTTTAAATACTTTTTAAAATTTTCGGCAAGTTTGGAATGGAGTTTTATCACATTTGTTTGGCTTGTTGGTGATTAAGAAAAATCAGATGATTTACTGTAAAAGAAAATACTTCATAGTTATGGAAAATATTTGGTAAAAATAAAAATAATATAAATATCGTACCTTGGTTTGTGCTTTTGGTCTTACTACCATTATTAACTTTTGCAGCGTTTTCGTCATAGTACCTGAAAAAGTAATAAATTGGTCTCATTTTAGAAATTTACGTACTATATTTTGCAAGTGATTTTTATAAAATTTCAGATATTCAAAAATATTTCACAGTGTTCAATTAATCATTTGTTACATCACCAGAAAATTTCATACCAAATGTCGAATATAAAAAATAATTTTAGAAAATGACAATATCCATTGATTAACTGATCAGTTGATTAGAACTTTATTGATTGATCAATTACTACTTACACATGCCCTTCTGGAAGAAGTAAGGCTTATTCTTCCAAGCAATGAAGATCAAATAAACAGGAACGGCAGTCAAAATCATCAAACAACCATATCCAGTTTCCACAGGACTTGCAATCATTGGCACAATAGTCACAAAAAGACTTGCAACTAAATATACTACTGGGAAAATCAAGGGCACCCTGATGGGCCTTGGAAGATTTGGCTGGGCATACCGCAACCAGGGCAGACATAATACAGCTACACCAATACTTAACTAAAATAAAAATTATGAATCATGAATTTAAATATAATTCCACTAATGAATGCCAAGTTCAATACAATGACCAGCAATATTTTGGTCTTCTTACCCAAGTAGCAAAGCCAACATAGTTGATCAATGCAAATATATCAGAGACAGTCAAATAGAGCATTGAAAGCAAAGCCATGGCCAAAACTGCAGGAGTTGGTGTCAACCTGGATGTTTGGATCATTGTCAAAATTTCAGGCATTTGACCTTCGCATGCTCCTGCATAAAACAATCTGGATGATGTCAGAAGAATTCCGTTGACGGCTCCAAAAGTTGATAAGGCCACGAAAACTAGGTAAAACATAGATAATTAGAAAATTACTTATCCAAAATATCGTCAAAAATAAGAATTTAGTCATTTGAATTTGTGATCTAATATCATGCATCAGATAATCTAAATATACCAATTCCAATTGTCATGACAAATAAATTTGTATAGTTTATCATTTTTCCCTTACCAGGAATTGTCCAGGCAACCACTCCGAATAGCCGATCAGCAAAAGTGACTGCAACAGCTTCTGATCCCAAAACTTCTTCTGGAGACAAGGTTGTGTAAAAAGCTACATTGGCCAAAACGTAGACAAATGTGACTAGAGTACAAGAAATGGCAATGGCTCTTGGCAGATTTTTTATTGGATCTTTCAGTTCTTCAATGATGAAATTGAGGTAGTTCCTGGGAAAGAAATTGTTGATCAAACTTAAGATACTAAAAATTGAGGCAAGAGGAATACACCAAGGTGAAATATTTTGGTACAATTGTATAAAAAGCTTCTGACTTGCATTGTTAGGAGGTTGTTGAAAATATCCACTTACCAGCCGTTATAAGCAAATAATCCAGAATAAAATGAAAGAGCCAGGGATGTTACATCAGACGTTGTATTATCAAATGTGAAATGTTCTGTGTGACCTGTAAATATTCATCAAGAAATTATTAAAATTGGCGAGTACAGTTCTGTTGTAGTGATGAAAAACTTTATATTATTAATGGAATAATAAAAAAAGAGTGCGCGTAAGGTTCACATGCAATTGAAGTAAAACTTATTTGCTATTGTACAAGATGGCATTTAAGTTAAAAATAAATACATCATGTAACAATTTTGAATAATGTTTATTAGAATTTTGGTAACACTCGTGATGCACACATTTATTAGTGTCAACCATTATGCCCATTTATATAATGATAAATTATAAATTATATATTCATAAAAGCATAAAAAATGTGTATAATATTTAAAAACAATAATATAATTAAAGTCATACTTCTAATATGACATGATCGGTTTGTCATTGTAATTAGCATTTAGAATTAAACTTTCATTAGAAAAATGAATAATTGCTGATTAATGAATTCTATAATATTCGTTCACACAGTGGATTATGTTAAACAACGCCTAAACAAATATTGTTTTCGCAACTTCACTCATCATGTAATCGTGTTTGATGAACTTCATGTAATTAAAATTAACATACATTCATTGACTCCTTTAATTTTTTTACTTTTTTGCTAGCGATATAATATCATTCTTTAAACATCTGTAATATCTGTCTTGCCTAAAAAATATAGAAATAACTTCAAATCAATAATCTTACGTTTAGTACACGGCCCAAAATGCTTGATTTGTCTTATTATTTACAAGAAACAGGGTAAAATATTCTTTTGATTTAGGCATTTTTCATTAAATCAAGATTTGTACTACGATGTAACTTTAAAATGTTTATTTATCTATACCGATTTTCTTGTTGATATCGGTACGCATACAACGTTGATACCGGTACATACATACAACGACAGATCTTTATTCACATACACGACGGCTAATCACAATCGACCCATATTGAAATAATCTCATCGAGAGCGAATGGCGTACAGTTCGGGCGTAACGCATTTCCGTTGCATTTGTACGGATTTACACCCTAGTCGCGCCTAAAGAAGTTTTACTTCAATCATAGTTCGTTGTTTGATTTACCTGTGAATAGCTGATAAATTCCAGCAGCTATAATAATGAAAAGAGCCAATAGTTTAGCATAAGTAAATATGTCCTGCACATTTGTGGCCCATTTTACGTCCCAGCAGTTTATAAATGCCAAAATCACTAGAAAAATAAATCACACATGTTGAATTTGATCTTAATACTTAATAAAACTTCCTTCATAAATATTATGTCCTTACATATACAGCAAACTGCCAACATCCTCACAGAATCATCAGGTGGTTGGCACTCTGGGAAGAATGGTTTTAAAATATAAACACTAAAAGTTAAAGCTACAATAGCCTGAGAACAGGGCCGGACTATCATGCATTCGATCCAAAGCCTGATGAAAGCCATGAATGGTCCGAATGTCTCCATGATGTACGCGTAATCCGCTCCTGACTTTGTTATCATGGTACCCAATTCTGCATAGCAATATGCACCTACCTAGATAAAAAATAGATATTAGAATCATGGGGTAAACTGACCAATGATCATTGTCTATTCTGCTTACCATGGAGAACAATCCAGATATCGTCCATACTACTAGCGACATGTTGACACTTCCAGTGTATTTGAGGACTCCAGTTGGCGATACGAAAATACCAGAACCAATAATGGAACCAACAATAACTGTGATACCATTGAGAAGACTCATTTTGGCTTTGAGCTGGATGTCCCCATCTTCGTCTGTGCTTTTGATCGGAGTCGCCTCTTTCTCTTTGAGCGATTTAGTGACTTCTTCGTCTTCCATTTTGATGGCGTGTTTACGTTATCAGGATTTCTGAAGGAAAAATAATAAAGTCAAAATTAATAGAGTATAAGAAATAAGTTTTGCATTTGATTCTTTTTTTAATTGATAGTGCTAGGTCAAGACATGTTAAGAAATTTTGTTTCAAAATCAAGTAAGGCCCAATGCAATTTTTTTTAGCCAGACTATTGCTGAAGTGGTGAGTAGAATACAATAATATGTAAAATATTGTTTTACAATAAAAACAATTTAAGTGACCAATTCTCCGGTAAAATAGGTCAAAACATAGCGTTGCTCCTAAATACTTTCTTGGTACTAAAAACTTTGTTGTTGGTAAAAATGCTTTGAATTTGCTGGTCAGTCAAGCTCATGACAAAGATGCAATTACTTTTTTTTGTTTGATTGTACTTAGCAAGCTATACATACGATACATTCAACTAATTTTCAGCACCTTCTTAGATATTTTGTGTTTTGTTGTAGTAAATCATTGCAGATTATTTTTTGAGACTAGTTGTTTTTGGTGCAGTAATGATAAATTCCTTCTTCTACAGTTGGAATTCGGAAAATTCGATGTATTAATCAATTTGGGACATATTTTGGAGCGTTCACGATTTCTTTCAAAATTTTGCTATGGAACCTCTGTAGAATAGTTATGTTTGATTTACTGGCCGCACCCCACAGTTGTAGACCGTAAAACCATATTGGTTTAATAATTGTCTTGTGTATTAGAAGTTAATTTTCTATTGAGATGCAATTACTATAGCATTTTTTCGTCGTTAGTGCGTTATATAGGTTAGGTTTTAATTCTAATACGTCTAGCTGCACAGCAACTACCCAGCATTTTCTCAGTTTTTAACACCAAGAAAGAGGCATAACATAGCCTTGCCATAACAATCTGACTACCGGAGAATTGGCCCCTGAATGTTTTGTCTTAACGCGTTCTTAATTTATTTATAAAATTATGGGCCACAATTTTTTATTTATATTATTACTTTAATTGTTTTTAAAATAAATTTGAAAAAGCTTCGGGTAATTTATATTTTAACAATGTAACTAGCCTAATTAGCATTATTCAAATTGATATTTACTGTAAAATGATTTATTGTCGTAAATGTAATATGTATTTGATATGATCTTAATCACACATTGTTTATTTGTAATGATAATTTCTATATATTTAAATTAATTATGAAATAAGCACTACCAATTATATTTCAGTACTAGAACTTGAACTCAATTCATTTAATTTAATAAGTTTATAAGTTTATCATTTTAATTAAATTTTATCATTTTAATTAAATAATTTTTAAGTTACCTACATGAATATTTTATAAAAGTATCAATTACATAAAACAATCTATTTTTATCATATTTTTTCACAAATTATTCCAGTAAGATAATTAAAGTGTGTTGATACGGAAATAAAACATCGTTTTATAGCAATTAGTTGAATCAATATTTCTGTAATTAATTAGTGAAGTACATATTTTTTTAAAATGATGAATGAATATAACACGTGTTGATATATTTAATCAAGAAGTAGTACTTGATTATTAATAATATTAGAACTAATAATAAAGGTTACCTAAAGGAAAAAAATACATAAAAAGTTCCAATAAAATATTGTGATTGTGCAAGAATCATTAGTAATTAAATAACCAATATTATATTTTTTTATAAACTACTGTATTTTACACAAAACTGCCAAAAAATTAAGAATCGCCAAAAAAGTGCAAACATTATGGTTTGTATGAAATCCTTACTGCAGTTTCTCTAATTCTTGTAATGTAAACAGTTCTAATTCAGAATCTTTTTATTATATATTTTCTTTTTAAATTTTCATAAACGTCGCTTTTCCAAAATTGTCAGAAAAAAAATATTATAAAAATCTTTAGAAAAAATTATGAACTTCCCGTAGGGTAGTTATAGTAATCGCTAAAAAAATCGAAAATTAAAATTCTTGCATATCTTCACGTTTCGAAAGTTTCTGAACATTTTGGCATACCTTAGAAAAAATGGATATATGTGTGTGTGTGAGTATGTATGTCTAGTTTCTCTGAATTTGAAGTCTTTCGAGTATTTTCTGGTATCTCTAATCCCTATTTTTCAACAAAGTGTAAATATCTATTTTTAGAGCATCTCTGTATAAATAAAACGATCACATTAGTCTAATAATGATATTTACATCAGCACTTATTTATCATCATCATTATTATATTTATGTGTATGTGCCCCAGTATCAAATGTCACATGTTTTGATAAGAAATTTATTCGGTACAAATTAAATTGCCTTGTAACAGATATATACAGATGTATGGTAATGGCAATTTTTGGTAAGGTCAAGGACAATATCAGGATAATTTATGTCTAGTCTTTGACACTTAATAATTCTTCCGTCTTGTTGAGACTCTTGTAGACGAATACGAATTTTTAGTACGGCAAAATGTATGAATAGCAATGTGGCTATCATAGTAGGAAGACAAATAAATAGTTGTCCTTTCTGGTTACACAGTTTAACATTTCGTTATTTAATATTTTGAATTTAACTATTTTTATAGCAATGGTTGGTAGATCTATCCTTATTTGCAAACAAATTCCGATAAATTTAAGAAAAAAAAATGACAGCTTGGTATCAGGTAATACTTAAGACAAAATTTGAACTAAAATCTCAGTGGTTGCTTGGCCTCCATTTTTTTTTTTTTTTAAAAACTTTATTACTAATTATTTTTTTCTTTTTATCTTACATACTACATATATATTTTACTTTTTCTTTACATATTTTTACTGTTTATTACATTTTTCTTTACGAATATTTCTTCCAAGGGCAGGTCCGTGGGTTGAGTTGAAAATGCACTCAATCATGGTTGCACGATGTCAGAGCCTTTACATTTTTCTGTTGTATAGGGATACAAATTCGACTTCCTTTTTGTATTTCAAAGCGATACCATCTTAGTACCCTCTTTACTTCCAAGTGGCGTGTTGCCACTACAGCTTTGCCCACGAAAGGCCATTTTCACTTGAAATCATATTTGAAATCTATGATTTCAAGTGAAATTTGGTATCAAGCTGCTTTTGATACCGAACCGACCGAGGTTGGATTCGAACCCGGGACTAGGATTTGCTAGCCCACGTTCTTACCACGGGACCACGGCCGGTCCAACCATCGCATAAATTTAAAAATAGTCGATAATAATAATGGGAAACAAATTTAAAAAATGACGCACCCGCACAGTTTTGTATACTGCGTCGACTTGTGGAATAGTAGCTCTGACAATATCATATGGGGGTTTTTATATGTTCAATCAAGACAAGGAATTATTTTAATATTATTTTGAGATCTTATTGAAAAATATCTGCTACTACTTTACCCCTGTTACAATAATCCCTTAACTGCCTTACAAAGTCACTGGTATTACCTATTCAATTACCAAACCATCTACCTGTCCAATCATCAAATCCATCAAACCATTGAACAGCTTAGTTGAATTATCAAACCATCAAATTGGTAAATTAGTAATTCAGTCAACTGATAAATTATCAATCTATTCAACAGCTAAATTGTCAAGCAATCAAATTGATTAAATACCAAACCATCAGAATTATTAACAAGCAACTGAACTGGTTAATTGCTTAACCAACAAACTGGAGAACTACCATTCCATCAAAATGCTGATTTACCATACAA